TCCTGATCCCAACTCTTTCGATTTCTGAAAAAAAAAAAGAAAAGATTTCTGAAAAAAAAACACAAATACTCTCCTCTAGAAATTAGAACTTTGACTAGCTGAATTAAAGTTCTAAACTGTACCAGATGGCACCGTTCATCCTCATATCTACCAAAAATATTTAAAAAAAACATTCGGGGCCCCGAACCCCATGCTGGGGTGGGGGGGGGGGGGCTGAGGGTTTGCTTCGCATGATTTACTAAAAAGTGGAAACAGAAGAAATGAAACAGTGACTTTTAGAAAGAGGGAAGTGAATGCGTGTCTCCCCCCACCCACCCACCCACCTCCAGCACAAATAATTGGACATGCACATTACTGAGTGAACATATTTTATATGCCGGCGTTTACGGTTTGGTTATTTTTATTTACTTTGCTTCGCGTTGTCCTGCGAAAATGATATTCGGTAATATTCGCTTAGTGTACGTAATAACAGGCAAATACGAAGGACTCTGATAAAAACGACTTTTTGACTGTATTTTAAGGGTTTCCGTTTGTATAGGCTATTAGGGCAGGGACCTGTCACACATAGCGTGAAGAGGTACGCACGAGTATCGTATGTGTATTCAATTGTATCTTTGATAAAAATAAATATGAAACACGCTTCAATGATAATATATTTGACTTATAAAACAATTTATTATTTAGTCAACGCCTGTATAACTGGTAGTGTACCTTACCGACATCACTGGACGAGCTAAATGACCAATTGCAATAGGTGTGCAGAAAACTCAACTCTGAAGTCGACAGCGATTAATCTCAACTGCTGCAATTTCAAAGGGCTATTATTCATTTATTCTCTGCTTTTAGAGATTTACAGAAAAAAAAGTTCTGCTATTGATTTCATGAAAATTCATGCTGTCCTTCAGAAACATTTTAGCGTCATTTATTACTTTTCGCCCGAATTTTTGCACAGATGGATTTTCCAACTTCACAAATTCATAACTTAACAAATGCTTGTAAAGCATACCAAAGTATCAACATGTAGTACTATACATGTGCATGATAAATTGTATCTGAATGTCTGTGCTGAAACCTCTTGAAAAATGGCAATTAGCAAGCTGCTCTGAGTGAGAATATTTTCTCATCCAAAAGTTCAAAGCGTTTATAATTAAAGCTTCTTATTTCTTATATGAATCACTTCATTGCCATAATAAATCTATTTTGATAATTACTTATATTTGATTGCAGAGCTTTATGGTAGTAGTTATTATGTACAAAAATAAATAAAACATGTCTTAGACATTTGGTAATACTGCTACATATACAATATAAGCATATCCGTCATACCCGGCAGGATACCAAAATGTAAAAGCAATTGTTTAATAAACACTTTATAAAAAATTACTTTACTTTAATAACACCATTTACAACAAAAATACATAATCTTCTTTTTACCAAGAAGCTTAAAAAATGAATCTGAAACAATTCCAGATTTCACAGAGCTTTAATTTAAAGGGCACTTTAAGCATAAAACATTTTTTCTGGCACAAGAATATTGTTAGTACATAAATAAATGCTTTTCTCCCTAGATTTTGTCTACTAGAAGTGGTATTCATAGCTGTGATATCCTAGCATTAAACAGACACTGACAACAGCTAAATATTATAATTATTATTACATGCAAAACCTCAAAGGGCAATTTAACATGCTGCTTACATTACTAATTTCACCTTGATCTAAAAGTGATAATTCTTAATTACACCAATGATACATCATCAAGGCAACTATTGATGGTTTATATAAATGCTAAGCAAAAATTATATTAACTCTGAAAATAAATGATATATATGTAATATATCAAAAAAATTTACTCTTTCCTATAGTTTTTACTGACCAAACGTTATGGCATTGCAGAGACTCATCCATTCTTCCATTCAGTAACATTGCTTTTGACATCAGTTGCAGCTTCAGTAACAATAATCAGTATCAATACAACCATCTACAGCAACATCTGTACTAAATCTAAAGCCAAAAATCACTATAACCTACGCTGCAATAATCAATCTGTAGCTTCAGCAACAGTGTTGTAACTGCTGCATTTATGTTACTGTAGCTGCAATCTGACAGTGGTACAGCTATGGCGACTCCAATGTTACTCTGTAGTACACTGTTATTGTTATTGTCACTGACACACTGTGCCTCTTTTAGCTTCCTCCGGCTGGATACAGTAATTCGTTCACATTAATTTGGTCTATGTCATCCGGGTTGTAGTCCATGACGTTAAACATCATGTCTTCCATCCCGCCATCCATGGCACCGTCATCCAGCTCCAGGGCACTCCTAACAGGAGAAACAATCATATATTCAATTAAAATCAAGAACATACAAAGAACCTTTTCTCTCTTTCTTTCTCTCTCTTTTTTTAAGTTTATTATTTATTTATGTATTTATTTATTTATTTATTTTTTTTGGGGGGGGAGATGGTAATATACTATTATCTGAACAATAAAAACATTCTAAATGGGTTGATATCCACATCTGTATACAGTTTGTATAAAATTAATGAAAAAATCGAGATATGTCATTAGAAACAATTTTTAAAGTATCGTAGAATCATTTTCCATGGCATCTTTGGCACCAACACTTACCCCTGTGCATGTTCAAACACTTTTAGCCATGCATGCATGAATAATTTTACAACATGCACGTACAGTCAAATGAGCAAGTAATAAATACAGTAACAGCAAACTGTACTCAAATATCATATACTAGTCATACGGACATCCCAGACAATACAGATACAGGCAAACATAATGGGAAATTGGCAAAGCGCAGTAAAGGGAAAAAAGTATGTTAGGTATATTTCAGTTTGTAAAATAACATAATGGAAGCTGTACATTCTTATGAATAAAGAAAACCAATGGCACTTTGGTACAATGTACAGGGGTAAGGACAAAATACCTCTATAAATGTTTCATGTTGCACATGCAAGGTATATGCACTTAGAGCACAATATGCTGTGGCATAATGAAGCATATTCAGAAGGGTTTTTTTTGTTTATTATTAACCGGTCTTTTTTTCATTCAAACACTGCAAAGCTTTTGTAACTGTGTGCACATTCATTTTTATAACACAAAGCCTTGCCATCTAGGGGCTTGCCGCCAATGCTCCACACAGATTGATCCAACGCCGCTGGGACTTTTGCTGATCGCAACAGATTAATAGTTAAACACATCTCCTCCTGGATTTGAGTAGAATACAGAATAGCTGATGATTATATGAGTACAATGGATACAAGTTGAGGCATGTTAATCTGTTTGCATTCAGCATGAGTCCCCGAGGATTTGGATCAATCTATGTAGAACAGAAATTTCATTGGGAGTGGACCCTAGGTATCTGTGATCAAAAATGGTTGGGATAGGGGCAGCAGCGATGCAGCAAAAATATTTTTTCAACCTTTGAAGCCCGGAGCTTTTTTGATGAAGAACACTGAACATTCTAATATCTGGGGACACTTTCAGCTCATTCAGTATTTCTCAACATTCAAATAAGCTTTTTTTTTTTACAATTTGCATTAGTTTCATTACGCCTTTGCCAAAATCTCCCATGATGCTTTGTACCTATTTCCATAGGTCTGTGAATCACCGTACATGGCAGTGGCTGGCGGTGAATGAGGCATCTCCATCTGGGGTGTCTGGGGGTTATCAAAGCTCATGGGGGCCATGGGCTGAGGGTGCATTCTGGAAAAAAATAATATTTTCATAACCTTTACGCCCAAAAGTACTTCATTATTTCATTATCACAGCAAAAGACAGTTGAAATTGACATAAACACCTACTTTGATAAACAATTCTCATTAGTACATAATTCATTCAGATACTTTTTTTCTAGGACTTTGTAAGTTATTATCACACCTATTTGTTAAATATGTACATTAATGCTGGGCTAAATGGGCTTGTAGAAAAGCTCAATAGGCCTTGAACATGTTTTTTTTTTTTAATTCAATTAGGCACAGGGGTTTGTAAATTAAAAGATTAAGACCCCATTCCCATACCTAGATCGATCTAGCAGGATCAACCCATCTCTAAGGGGATTCTCATTAAATTGCATTCACCTTAAGCGGCTTAGATGTCTGTCACACCTTCCAAAGCTGCTAAACAATAGTTAATCACCCCCTAACAGCTTCACTGGGCGAGCCAGACATCAGAGCCGCTTAAGCTGAGTGCAATTTAGCGAGAAACCCCCTCAGAAATGGGTCGATCCTGCTAGATAAAAAGATTTTTCTACTCACCCTGGCACGTGAGTCACCAACTGTGTCTGGACATAGCCATCTTTAGTTATTTTGCTCTCACCCTCTGGAAAACAATCAAATTACAATACGTTAAACTGAACCAGTACAGGGTTTACTAAGTGGTAAAATATGCCACTGAATTGATTCAGATTTACTTATCTAAAATACTTTCTTTAAACCCTGCATAGATAATAACCTGATATCAAAACAATGATTTAGTTCACTTCATCAATGAATAAACAAGTTATTATAGATAATTTTAAATAAATGCAAATCTCTGTCAAGCCTCCCCCCCCCCACCTCAAGTCAATAAAATATAAGGATATAAGCATACTTTTCATACTGTCAAGGTTCATCAGCCAAAAAAAGTACTCAAGTTTGATTCAAACTATATTGAAATACTTTGAAACCAGCCAAAATTTAAAGTTCGCAGGAATTTGCAAGAAATTTTACTGCTGTTAATTTGTAGCCACATAGCAGTAAAAACTTGCTGCAAATTTGGAAGAAGGAATTACAGTTTGCAGCAATATTGTAGCAAATTTACTGCGAAATTGCAGGTCTGATATTTTGCTGAGGGGGGGGCATAATAAATGACTCCTACTTACCGTTGGTATTTGTCCAGTATTTCCCAAAGCACTGGTCCTTGGGGATGTTGGGGTGCAGGAACTGCAGGTTTGGTAAGTCCTTGATACGGTCAGCCAAGGCACGGATGGCAAAATCTTTTGTTGTAAAAGGGGCCAAATTCCACACCTGGCGAACATCTGAAATCACACAGTGGCAAGTTTGTCTCAATTTTCATTCTGAAGTCAAGTTTTCAAATTTATCTATGATTACCAATCATATCTGAGCAAAAATGTAAGCTGACGATATGAATTTTTTTTTCATCCTGTGTTTGATAATTTTTATGTATGTGCCAATCATGTCATTATTTACCAAACATTCCCTCCTTTTAAAATTGCTGTAAAAATCTTTTGTGTCCAAATTTTCTTCAAACAGAAAACACCCTTCATCTATATAAACATGGCCATTGTCATTTGATTAATAAAACTGCCCGAGTCAAGAAAAAATTGGCCATATTGGGAGATACAGCATTACAGTACCTGGCTTTTGGGGGTCATCTGCCACCCAAGCGATAGTAATCCCACCTATCTCTGAGTCACTGAAGCGTAGAAGGAATGTTCCATTCTGACGATTAGAGAGAAGCATCTCTTGAGCCATACTTTTGCTGATGAAACCAAGGATGTAGCTGAAATAAAAACATCCAACATAAATAACCAAGTGAACAGAATATTATGAAGGATTTAACAAGCACAGGAAGGATTTAACAAGCACAGGTTCCCGATAGTACAGACTTTGCTGTATGGAAAAGGCAGAAGAAAAAGAATAAGAAGTTAAAATCATTCTATGATTTATAGACCCCACTAACTGTGCTGCAGGTAAGAAAATTATTTAGGCGACTTCAATTTAATTAATGGTCATATCCAAATAACATGCACATTAAATGACATAGCAGTGTGCATGTACCCAGTACACAGGAGAAAATCCAAAATCTTCACTCATAATCTGTAGTTTTTATTCATTAGGCATTTTTTTTCAGAAAAAGAACTCCCTTTGAAATTGGGATGCAGGCTTAGCATGCAGGCTAAGGTTTGTCAGTGAAGTAGCCCCCCTGCAGACCTGTTGTGGTTAAGACAAGACTTCAGACCACCTTACCCATCACACCAGGGTCCTCGCAGGTGTTCCTTGGTCAACTTCAGTACTGCGTAGAACCATTCCCAAAATGTAAAGTTTCTTCCCTGCAAGGTTTCCTACAATATGTGGGTTAAAACAATTGTTACTCCAATTTATTTATATACATATATTTTGATGTGCTTACAGTAATTTCAGGCAAAGGGGAAAACTTCACACATTTGTTTTAAACTATAAGGCCTTATTCCTATAGACACCGTTGGTCTAAATAGATTAATCCAACTTTGCAGGGACTCCGACATCTCAAAGGCCATATCAAATGACTTATCATTTCAGATACTTATAATAACAATAAAAAAAGTCTTATAACTAAAATCATTCATAATTACCTTATTAAATTGGGACCAGCTGACTCTGCAAGCTGTGTAGTCGTCAGATTGATAACCAAATATCTTCTGAGCTAAATAACTCAAATTCTGAGCTGTCAGTCCACCACCAGTGGCAAAACGGAATTTGGTTGACAACATTTCGGCAAGAAGAGGCCAGGATACTGTGTCAGGTGTAAGGAAAGGTATACGACCCTGAAAGAAGATAAAAAAATTCATTTTCATTTCAAACAAGCGAGACAAAATATTTTTATCAAAGGGGTCTTATTGACAGAGGAGTTCCCTTTTAGGTTGTTTAAATGCATTATAATGTACTTTCTGTTTATGTAGCTGGGTTTGCAGTTTATTCACAGAACAAAAATCGCTTCTGCCGTGAAGCAATGAGTTCAAAATCCATTTCCAATTTTTTTTTCACATTTCACAGTAAATATTAAGATTATCAAATATCTGATTCGCTGCATTCACTTTTTAATGAAAAGTCCGATATCTTAGTTATTCCACCCCACAATACCAACTGGTTCCAAAATTACCAGGGTTCAACATTAAAAATGGCCTGCTGGCCCAGGGTCACTGAAAACTGATCTCGGGCCAGTGAATCACAGGGGTTACTGGCCAGGAGGGCAAGCAAAATTTAGTTTGCTAAGTTTAACAAACTTTACTGGCCCAAAGGACCAGTGGAGAGAAGAGTTAGGCCACATTCAGAACAGTGGACTAACTAGTCCGAGGGTCAAATATGGTCAACTCACTTAAACACTTCCCCACGAATAATCTACTGAGTGTCTATTAGCGGATTAGGCTTCGTTCACATGCAATGTCTATTTTCTATTTTCTATTTTCGGTATGTCTTATGATCACGGTCTGTGCACTGAATATCCCGCGGCGTANTAATCTGTAGTTTTTATTCATTAGGCATTTTTTTTCAGAAAAAGAACTCCCTTTGAAATTGGGATGCAGGCTTAGCATGCAGGCTAAGGTTTGTCAGTGAAGTAGCCCCCCCTGCAGACCTGTTGTGGTTAAGACAAGACTTCAAACCACCTTACCCATCACACCAGGGTCCTCGCAGGTGTTCCTTGGTCAACTTCAGTACTGCGTAGAACCATTCCCAAAATGTAAAGTTTCTTCCCTGCAAGGTTTCCTACAATATGTGGGTTATAACAATTGTTACTCCAATTTATTTATATACATATATTTTGATGTGCTTACAGTAATTTCAGGCAAAGGGGAAAACTTCACACATTTGTTTTAAACTATAAGGCCTTATTCCTATAGACACCGTTGGTCTAAATAGATTAATCCAACTTTGTAGGGACTCGGACATCTCAAAGGCCATATCAAATGACTTATCATTTCAGATACTTATAATAACAATAAAAAAAGTCTTATAACTAAAATCATTCATAATTACCTTATTAAATTGGGACCAGCTGACTCTGCAAGCTGTGTAGTCATCAGATTGATAACCAAATATCTTCTGAGCTAAATAACTCAAATTCTGAGCTGTCAGTCCACCACCAGTGGCAAAACGGAATTTGGTTGACAACATTTCGGCAAGAAGAGGCCAGGATACTGTGTCAGGTGTAAGGAAAGGTATACGACCCTGAAAGAAGATAAAAAAATTCATTTTCATTTCAAACAAGCGAGACAAAATATTTTTATCAAAGGGGTCTTATTGACAGAGGAGTTCCCTTTTAGGTTGTTTAAATGCATTATAATGTACTTTCTGTTTATGTAGCTGGGTTTGCAGTTTATTCACAGAACAAAAATCGCTTCTGCCATGAAGCAATGAGTTCAAAATCCATTTCCAATTTTTTTTCACATTTCACAGTAAATATTAAGATTATCAAATATCTGATTCGACTGCATTCACTTTTTAATAAAAAGTGCGATATCTTAGTTGATCCACCCCACAATACCAACTGGTTCCAAAATTACCAGGGTTCGACATTAAAAATGGCCTGCTGGCCCAGGGTCACTGAAAACTGATCTCGGGCCAGTGAATCACAGGGGTTACTGGCCAGGAGGGCAAGCAAAATTTAATTTGCCAAGTTACCAAACTTTACTGGCCCAAAGGACCAGTGGAGAGAAAAGCTAGGCCACATTCAGAACAGTGGACTAACTAGTCCGAGGGTCAAATATGGTCAACTCACTTAAACACTTCCCCACGAATAATCTACTGAGTGTCTAGACAGACAGCAAGCTTTTTAGGAGGTGACCATATTTGACCTGCGGACTACTTAGTCCACTGTTCAGGCCCTGATTACACATGTCACTTACTGGCTCTGCAAACTGATTGTCCCATAATACTGTAGCTAAGGCATTACACTCCTGGTTCCCATGAACTGTGACTACCACTGGCAAGGACAGCGTCTGGAAGGAACATATATATCAACCATGTGTCACTGTTAGTCCAGATTATGGTCATTATTTGATGTTTTTATTATGGGAAAATAATTGTGAATTTTACAGATACTGTATTTTTATGTTATAATTTCTCAAAATTTGATCTGATTCTGATCCTTAAAAAGTTTGCAAGTTTTTTTTATTTTTTTCAAGTTTATGAGTATAAATTACTTATTAATCTTCAAAGCATTTGGAGAGATTTCTCTTCATATTTCAAGTCCAATTTTGTAATGAATGATCATAAATGAATGAAAAAAAAAAAAAAAAAAAACAAGTAGCTGACACAAATAAAAGGTACTTCCTGAAAAAGGAGCAAAGAGAGGTTTCATTACATTTTTAAAGTCCATTTAATTAAAAAATAAATGAAATAAGATAAAAACCATCAAGTTACTTACCCAGACCTGAAACACCAGCTCCCCTCCCCCCACTGTAAACTGGGACTGGAAAAGAATTGAAAACTTTTCCTCTGTGACAGCCTGAAAAAAAAACAGAAAAAAGGACCTCAAAGTTAACAAGATTTTCAAATAAACCTCCTGACGATCGGGCATACCTTCTGGGTATGACCGTGAAACTCGGAGTCAGGGTTATTGCATGTCTTTTGTTTATTTATTTATTAATTTTAATTGTGTACAAATGCTCCGGACCGTTGAGCACTCTGTTCCACACTCACGCTTGTTATATATATATATATATATATATTCCTTATAACAAACTGTCATACATTTACCTCTGTCCCTTTCCTGTCGGCTCTTTTGATTCTTTTCAGTTGCTGAAATTTATAAAACACTCCACTTATTATTATTATCACAGAAAATACCTTACACATAATAGATACACTTGTTTTTTATTATATATTGTTTTATGCTTTAGACATACAGGGGTAAAACCCAATTCCTCCTCCAGAAGCGGACACTGTGACCTCAAGGTCATCCAGACAGTAGAAATTTTGTTCTTTCTCATGTTCCACTGTGGTAAAGCTCACCATATTCCTGAAGGTTACTGACACTGTGGTATAACTCAACATGTTCTTGAAGGTTACGGACAGGTTGCCTTTAAAACTCACCATATTCCTGAAGGTTATGGACAGGTTGCCTGTAGACTGGTTTAAAACTCACCATATTCCTGAAGGTTACGGACACTGTAGTAAAACTCACCATATTCCTGAAGGTTACGGACACTGTAGTAAAACTCACCATATTCCTGAAGGTTACGGACACTGTAGTAAAACTCACCATATTCCTGAAGGTTACGGACACTGTAGTAAAACTCACCATATTCCTGAAGGTTACGGACAGGTTGCCTGTAGACTGGTTTAAAACTCACCATATTCCTGAAGGTTACGGACAGGTTGCCTGTAGACTGGTGGTATTCCATGGTCCCCTGGTTGTTCAGAATCTCGCCGCTGCTTTCATTCTTCAAATTTTTATCATTTTTCAGGAGACTTCTGGCTTGAGACTCACTACAAAAAATGACAATGAAAATGATGATGGACAAGTTCAGATGTCTTTTACTGGTCTATTGAAACCCATGAATCAGTATACGCAATACTTTAAAGTTTTTATCGGCATTATGGATCATATCATTTTATATATTAAATCATACAAAGTTAATTTTGTCGTTCAATGCACTACAGATTGCTGTTTAAGACAACATCAGCTTACTCAGAGTCACCCATAACACATTACAAAAAAAAATCACATGGGGCATTTTAATTTTTGCTCAGTACATTTTCTCTGAGCCGAAATGTGAGCTAGTGCCTGCCCTACCTGATAATAGTGGCCTTCACAGTGGGAGGGTTCATATGGACGTTCAACTTGCCCCCAACCAGCAATCTCACTGTGGAAGTAAAGCGGGATTCTTTTTTCAAAACTTGTGGGGGTTGCTTTTCAATTATGAAAGTACTGGAATTGAACAAAAGAGTCTTTGTTATTAGATAAGAGTTTTCAGGATAAAACTATAGATATCAAATAAATAGCTTTTTCATAGGTGAATCACTGAATGATAAAAATTCACATTTTTAATATTCTTATTTCCTCATAAAAATTTTCGCCTGCAAACAATCAAAAAGTGCCAATGTATTCTCCATTATGCATACTACAAGATAATAGTAATATACTCAAATAATTTGAAAATAAGATTTATGAAGTTTTGTGTGTGTGTGTGTGTGTGTGTGGGGGGGGGGGGGGGGGGGGGCTT